ATTATATTACCTTGGCGACACAGCTATAGTTTGATACCTTGGTGACACAGCTATATTATATTACCTTGGCGACACAGCTATAGTTTGATACCTTGGTGACACAGCTATATTATATTACCTTGGCGACACAGCTATAGCTTGATACATTGGTGACACAGCTATATTATATTACCTTGGCGACACAGCTATAGCTTGATACCTTGGAGACACAGCTATATTATATTACCTTGGCGACACAGCTATAGCTTGATACCTTGGTGACACAGCTATATTATATTACCTTGGCGACACAGCTATAGCTTGATACCTTGGTGACACAGCTATATTATATTACCTTGGCGACACAGCTATAGCTTGATACCTTGGTGACACAGCTATATTATATTACCTTGGCGACACAGCTATAGCTTGATACCTTGGTGACACAGCTAGATTATATTACCTTGGTGACACAGCTATAGTTTGATACCTTGGTGACACAGCTATATTATATCACCTTGATGACACAGCTATATTTAGATATACTTTGGTGACACAGCTATAGTTTGATACCTTGGTGACTCAGCTATATTATAATATTACCTTGGTGACACAGCTATAGTTAGATACCTTGGTGGCACAGCTATATTATTATATTACCTTGATGACACAGCTATAGTTAGATACCTTGGTGACACAGCTATATTATTATATTACCTTGGTGACACAGCTATAGTTAGATACCTTGGTGACACAGCTATAGTTTGATAACTTGGTGACACATCTGTAGTTACATACCTTGGCGACACAGCTATAGTTAGATACCTTGGCGACACAGCTATAGCTAGATACCTTGGCGACACAGCTATAGCTAGATACCTTGGCGACACAGCTATAGCTAGATACCTTGGCGACACAGCTATAGCTAGATACCTTGGCGACACAGCTATAGCTAGATACCTTGGCGACACAGCTATAGCTAGATACCTTGGCGACACAGCTATAGCTAGATACCTTGGCGACACAGCTATAGCTAGATACCTTGGCGACACAGCTATAGCTAGATACATTGGCGACACAGCTATAGCTAGATGCCTTGGCGACACAGCTCTAGTAATTAGCTATAGTAATCATGTGAATTAAGAAAGTCCATCAAACGAAAGGACGGGGTCATGGAGAGTTCAAGGAATGTTATTTTTGTAAGGTGTCATGTTTAAAAAAAAATTTCTGATGATAAATTGGGGGAAAAAAAGGGGGATGGGGGGTAGTTAATATTTGCACTCCACAGTTCTGGTTGAACCCAGTGCCGTAGCAAGTGTTAGTGCCACCCAGTGCCGTAGCAAGTGTTAGTGCCACCCAGTGCCGTAGCAAGTGTTAGTGCCACCCATTGCCGTAGCAAGTGTTAGTGCCACCCAGTGCCGTAGCAAGTGTTAGTGCCACCCAGTGCCGTAGCAAGTGTTAGTGCCACCCAGTGCCGTAGCAAGTGTTAGTGCCACCCAGTGCCGTAGCAAGTGTTAGTGCCACCCAGTGCCGTAGCAAGTGTTAGTGCCACCCAGTGCCGTAGCAAGTGTTAGTGCCACCCAGTGCCGTAGCAAGTGTTAGTGCCACCCAGTGCCGTAGCAAGTGTTAGTGCCACCCAGTGCCGTAGCAAGTGTTAGTGCCACCCAGTGCCGTAGCAAGTGTTAGTGCCACCCAGTGCCGTAGCAAGTGTTAGTGCCACCCAGTGCCGTAGCAAGTGTTAGTGCCACCCAGTGCCGTAGCAAGTGTTAGTGCCACCC